TGTATTGTAGTCTTGTATATACAATAGTGCATGAGTACTGTTTTGTAGTATTGTATATACAACAGAGCATTAGTAATGTATTGTAATATTGTATATACAACAGTGCATGAGTACTGTATTGTAGTATTGTATATACAATAGTGCATGAGTACTGTATTGTAGTATTGTATATACAACAGTGCATGAGTACTGTATTGTAGTATTGTATATACAATAGTGCATGAGTACTGTATTGTAGTATTGTATATACAACAGTGCATGAGTACTGTATTGTAGTATTGTATATACAATAGTGCATGAGTACTGTATTGTAGTATTGTATATACAACAGTGCATGAGTACTGTATTGTAGTATTGTATATACAATAGTGCATGAGTACTGTATTGTAGTATTGTATATACAACAGTGCATGAGTACTGTATTGTAGTATTGTATATACAATAGAGCATGAGTACTGTATTGTAGTATTGTATATACAACAAAGCATTAGTAATGTATTGTAATATTGTATATACAACAGTGCATGAGTACTGTATTGTAGTATTGTATATACCATAGTGCATGAGTACTGTATTGTAGTATTGTATATACAATAGTGCATGAGAACAGTATTTTAGTATTGTATATACAACAGTGCATGAGTACTGTATTGTAGTCTTGTATATACAATAGTGCATGAGTACTGTAGTGTAGTATTGTATATACAATAGTGCATGAGTACTGTATTGTAGTATTGTAAATACAATAATGCATGAGTAGTACCTAAACACCTTTGACTCATCTCAAATTAAAAGATAGTTACTCTCTGGCTAATGACAAAAGTATGACGAAGACAGGGGTTTAACAGCGTAAACTACATAATAATTCATATTCCACACTACGGTGCACTGAACTATCGCAAAGGTTTAAGATAAACAAAGATGTGATGAACAGCCAGTAAAACAGTTTTTATACCTTTTGATAAACATCATTTAAATCAATAAGAAAGACTGATAAATCCGCAAATTTCATTATTCTCGAAGTAAATTTTAACCAGTCTTAGGCGTCGTAAATATTTGGTTTATGTTTAAGCAGTATTGTGGGAATTCAGCGGAAATAGTGGTGCAACTATACTTCAGTAGTTCTACACAGTTTACATAGAATAGTGGTGCAACTATACTTCAGTAGTTCAACACAGTTTATATAGAATAGTGGTGCAACTATACTTCAGTAGTTCTACATAGTTNTTTCGGAACTGTCCTCATAACGATCAATCATTTTGGAGGTGTTGACCAGAATGTTCTAAAAATACTGCCAACTTTTTATTTAATTTCTTTAATTCTTCTTGGATTGTAAACTGTGGACCAAATACTATAAACACAGGAGAAGTTTTTTAATAGATTTTTAAATTTCTCTTGAAAAGTTCTGTATGTTGTTAATGTTTATTTTTCTCTGTTGTGATTAAGTCAGGAGGAATGATAGTTGAGTGTTGACTACCTGGGCAGCTTTTTAGCATCAGTGAACACATAAGATGGTTTACTAATATAGGATATAACATACAGAAAGGAAACGAAGAGGTGAAGCTTATTACCTCAGATGTACACAACCGACCTTCCTATTAATACATTAATTGAGTGGTCGGTTGTATACATACATGTTTACGTAACTAAAACTGTACACTTTTATACTGAGTGATCGTATTTCTAGGGGGGATTTTCTGGAATTAATAAATTTTTAGATTTTTGCTATTTATCTAAAGAGAATTTTTTTGGGGGGGGAAGCCANGTGTGTATAAAATACTCAGTAATGAAAAAAAAATAACCTTTCCAACAGGATATTCTAATAGTCAATACATCTGATATGAAATCAAAAAGAAATGTATTCTGGATAAAAAAAAAATTGCGGAACAGGTTTGGTTTCTTCCTCTGACTGACATCTTCTTTAAAATGGTTTGACAAATAGAACTTGAGGCATATATGGTGGAGTCTCCCAAACTTAAAAGGCCTAGCCATGCACCGTGTTTTGATATTTTGAAAAACTCACATTTTTACAAAAAGAATTGCTTGTGCATTTTTCACGATGCAATATTTGGTCATACTTTTATTAACATAAACAAACAATTGAGCTGAATGTACTGCAGTACAATCCTGTGTTTACAATCCATATCAAGTGTCTATCTAATTTAAATTATTCATACAAATATTCAATTATCTACATTTTACAACCCCAAGAAATACGATCACTCTAAATACAAGTGTACAGTAAACATATCCTTATGTACACAACCGACCAATCTATTAATTAATTAAAAGGGAGGTTGTGTACATCTGAGGAAAGCTTTACCTCTTAGTTTTCTTGCTCTATGGGATGTAAAGACTTTACGGCCCAATCTTGCAGTACACACATCAAATATGCAGTACGCTTTCGGAGTACAAGTGTTTGGCGTGGTTTTGTATGCTTTAATTTTACTTTGTTTACTCAGAATCCTTTGAATCAAGTAATGCTCTGCTAAAGATTGTTTTTGCACGTCTTTTTGTGAAAATGTTATATTGCATTTTGTACAGGGGCGGATACAGGCTTTAAGTGAGGGGGGGGGGCAAGATCTTTTAGGAACTAAAAATTCATAATTAGGAACAAAAAAACGCGCCGCAGGTGAACATTTTTTTTGACTTAAAAGACTCAAAAAGAGTGAAAATTAATGACTAAAGACTAAAAAACTAGATTTTTAACTTTTCACACATTATAGTTTATTAAGACAGATATTTTTCCTGTTTTGAAATTTGCACTAGGGTTTCTTTCCCTTAAGCATGCTATTGAGAAGCTATTCTGAAAATAGGAACAAAAAATTCGAATTCTCAGGGGGGGGGGCTACGCCCCTCTCTGAATCTGTCCCTGATTTTGTAAAAGAGCAACATGGTTAAATGTCTTATACAGTTCCTTTAAGTTTTCTTTATTTTAAACCAATTTCTGTTGAAGAAAAATTTTTGTTTCATAAATCCGCCCACGTACTGTAATATACAGATTGACCTTTGAGTCCGTGTCGTGCCAACTTAACGGGCGTATTAAAGACGTACTTTGTATGTCTCCGTACTCTATAGTGTTTGTCCGCAAGATGTCATCCAAAGTATAGGTGTCAGCACATAATCTAATTTTATTATGCTTTCTATTTGTTTTCGCCGAGATGGGTCGTGTTTCATCGTTAGGAAATGAAGAGGTCATAAGTTTGCAAAAAGTATGGATGGCAAGATTCGGGCTTTGAAAGTGGAGTATACGCCATAGATGAATAAATAAGCATAGATAGCTTATGTACGCAAAATCACCAAGAATTGTACAGTCCGCGAACTCATACTTCTAGGGGTCAAAGTGTACTTCAATGATAAGCGGGGTGGTTTGGCGTTTTAATGGATTTCATAATAGAGTGTAAAATAACTCCGTGAATGGAACTATTTGAACAACAATATTTCAATGAGCAATATATCATATTAACGAGAACTGAAGAAGGACATGAGAAGGACTAAACTAACTTAAATTTCTCTCCACAGAACTCATGTACACCACAAGTACTCAATGGCATAATAACAGCAAATGTTCACAACCGACCTAGTTAATCTATATAATAGGAATATCTTTTAAACATCTCTGTACATTTATACCTTTCAAGTTGAAAAATGTCGTCTTATCTATGGTACACGCCTGAGCCCGTTCTCTCCATAATAATGTTTAAACAGTGGCCAAAATTAGGCCCACAATTTCCTTAGGCCCAACGCAATTTCATTCGGGCTGTTTTCTCGTTTTGGGCCTAAAGATTCGGGCGGTTGGCAACACTGTTCACGTACTTTGGGGGACGATAGTTTGGCCGCTAAGTGTCTCACGCAAAATTCTTATCTGATAGATAGATAGTTCTTACGAGAGACATCTAGCGGCCAAACTATCGTCCCCCAAAGTACGTGAACAACACGACCACTGTTAGTAAAGAATTAGTGTACATCCTCACTCTATATACTATAACCTCGTTGGATTAAGTACATATGGAGTACGCTAGTGTACAGTATGGTCAACCAATTTATACTTCTTAGTTTATAAGTAAACAAATTTGTGATTCTTGTTTTAAAAGAATTACTTAACGCCAAAAAATCAAACCCAACCCAAATCTTTAGTGGCAAGGCAAGGCACTATACGGACTGTTGGAGATTTGAGTAAACGGAATTTACCATCTGGATTTCAGTTTACATTTAGAGTTATTACGTATTTATATACGTATACTCTATAGACTTTGTGCTATGTACACAATTCCTTTGTTTATCCATCCAAAAAATCTGGAAACGTTAAAATATTAACATTGATCTGCTTAAACAAGCTAAACAAAGCCAACTTTAAAACGAAGGATTTCAAAATAACACCACAATTACCAATTCCTGTAAATTTAAAGCCAAGAATATTTCGAGTCCAATCCTTGATGTGATCCAGATTCCAGATTTTGGTGTGTTTATACTGATATATATATATATATATATCTGTTTATAAGATGACGAATTATCTAAGCTATTGAATCCTGTACTGCATAGTTAAACAGCTGTTCATTAAACAGGTCTTTAAGTTTAGTTATAGCCTAGTATACCTTCAGTTAACTTAACTTAACGTTTTTACAGATGTTTTCTATTCATGAAGTTAGCACATTCAAACCTTACTTTAAACATTTGTTTGCTTCTATTTGTTGTGTACATACAAAAGTAAAAAAGAGCCATTTAAAAAGATCTTGTCTTATGGATTATTTAAAGTCATCTTGTACCATCTTGAAATTGTTCATTCGAAAAAATTATCACAGAAAGAAAATTTGTAAATTGTACCATTGTAAATTGAATAAAGAGGGTCACTTAAAAATACATCAATTTATAAAGTATAATAACAAATGGCATCTCTTGAAAATTATTGGATTCAACTAACCCAGCTGTGTTCCTTGGCGCTTCCAACACGTGGTATTTTATTTTGAAATGTGTGACTAATCCCTTGAAATATTTAGACTAAAATGTTAGCTGCTGGGCTGAAAGGGTTTACTGAGTACGAGGAAGAGTACACTGTATTGGAAGCACTAGGAAAAGGAAAGTTTGGAGTTGTGTACAAGGTAAAATAATTGCATTTGATCAAGGGCGTATACAGGGGGGGGCATGGGGGGCAGTGCCCCCCCTAGACTTGTAAAGGGGGGGGGCGTAGCCCCCCCCCTAGAATTCTGCAAGCCTTTCACACTTTTCAAATCTTAACTGAAGAGTGAAGAACACAAAAAAAATAAGTTTGCTTTTCATGATTATTATAAAAAATCAAAATTTTAAAATATATATAATTACAGTGCAGTGCTCATGCTGTAACCAACTTAACCTAGCTAACCAACCTAACCTAATTTTAACTTTTAAGTTCACAGAGTACACAGAGTTTAGTTGGGTTCAGAGAACACACAGTCTGCATACATTTGTACAGCTCACACACTTTACATTATATGCTAGTCTTGTTTAGTAGTGATGTGAGTCTGTTAAAAGTTGCCGTTGTGACTGATATCTGTGATTTGCTGATTAATAATTATCATGAATCAAATACTGTTATTTATAAGCCTTGAGTTATCATTCATTCTTAGATTGCAGCAATTGTACCCCTACTTTTTTTCACAACAGAAACTTTCACAATTCATAATTATTTTCTGGACCTTTGTACTTCTTTTCATCTCATAGAATTTAAGTTTAAGTTAAGTTTTTATTTTCAAAAATGTCTTTTACTATCTCTAGTTTAAATACTAAATATACCTGTAAAAGTATAATAAAATGTCGATTTTTTAGAAACAATGCTTAGAAGGTAATTATTTGGACTGTATGTGTGCCTTTTAAGTATCTTATACTTATGCCTGATGTCCAAGAAGCCAAGTGTTATGAATTTACAGTTCAAATTTTGCCCCCCCCTAGGAGCTCCTAGGGGGGGGCAAAAAATTTTTTTGCGCTTCGCGCAAATCTTGCCCCCCACCCTACATTTATTTCTGTATACGCCCTTGCATTTGATAATTTCTTATTTTTCAAAAAGTTAACCCAATTATTTCTAAATATCTTAATTTTTAGATCTTATGCCTGGGTCAAGGTTTCATCATTTATTTAAATTTTTGTTCCTTTTTCATCAATTTCTGACCTAGCAATTTTTTGTGATGCAAGCTGAAAAACTTTTTTTTAAGAATTTTAAATAGAATCAACTAAAATCCAAAATTTAACTTTCAAATTTCCTTAAACTGTACAAAGTGTCGTGCAAATAGTTTTAATTAAAAATTAAGAATTGTGTGGAAAATTCAGGGATTAATTAAAAATGAAGAAATTTGAGAGACGAGAGCAAACGGAGTTTCACAGTAATATTAGCGAGGACCTTTATACTTTTAGATAGACATTGTATATGGTGGATAAATCAGCTTTTCTGTAACAATAAAACCCAATTTTTCCTTATTTTTTTTTTTTTGGGGGGGGGATAAGTTTTGTGTAAATCTTTAATTGGGAAACTAAAATAAAAATAAAAATATTTATGAAACATTCTTCTCATTAAAAAAGACCAACAGATTATTAAATCAGATATTTAATAATGTTTCTTCGTTACAATATATTTTTTCTCCCTGAACTAGTGAATGAAGCATTTTTCAGCAGTGACTCGTTGAATTTCTACAGTAACGCGACGAAGAGAAATATAATAACCCTGATTTGTCCTGCAATGGTATTAAATTGTTTATCTGATTCAGGTTGAAGATAGAAGTAGAGGAATATATGCTGCTGCTAAACATATAAAAACAAGAACACAACATGATAGAAACAGGTTTTATTATTTACTGGTTGAATCGTCCGGCGTTGCCCAGATTACACATAGTTACTCCCGCCGTTTACCCACGCTTGGTATTAAAAAATGTTTTCCGTTATAAGTATCCGGCGTTGCCCGTTGAATTTCAAAAAATAGAAATAGAAATATTATTTCAGGGTGATGGAGGAAATAGAAATACTGGAGAGCTTAAAGAATCCATTTATTATACAGTTTTACCAAGGATTTGAATCCAGAAAGGAAATCAATTAATCAAAAAGATTATCTCAAAATAAATAAATTGATGCCGAAAAAGTTTATGAGGAAACGGTTTGTTAATTAATTAGGATATAATTGATAATTATGTAGTTGAAGGGATAATTAATAAGTTGATTTATTCAGAGATATACAAATAATCAAAACTAATTTATGTATTGATTAGAAGACAACTGGTGAATTGATTTAAAGAAGATTGATTAATTGATTTGAAGACGATTGATCAGCTAGAGGATTTGAAGATAATTAATTATTTGATTTTAAGATAATTGATTAGTTAATTTGATAAGATAATTGATTAGTGGATTTAAAGATAATTGATTATTTGATTTAATGATAATTGATTAGTTGATTTGAAGATAGTTGATTTGTTGACTGAAAGATAATTGATTATTTGATTTAAAGATAATTGATTATTTGATTTAAAAGATAATTGATTATTTGATTTAAAGATAATTGATTAGTTGATTTAAAGATAATTGATTAGTTGATTTAAGGATAATTGATTAGTTAATTTAAAGATAATTGATTAGTTGATTTCAAGATAATTGATTATTTGATTTAAAGATAATTGATTATTTGATTTAAAGATAATTGATTAGTTGATTTAAAGATAATTGATTAGTTGATTTAAAGATAATTGATTAGTTAATTTAAAGATAATTGATTAGTTGATTTAAAGATAATTGATTAGTTGATTAAAAGATAATTGATTAGTTGATTAAAAGATAATTTATTAGTTAATTTAAGGATAATTGATTGGTTGATTTAAAGATGATTGATTACTTGATCAGGAGATAATTGATTAGTTAATTTAAAGATAATTGATTAGTTGATCAGGAGATGATTGTTGTCACAGAGTACCTTGATGGAGGAGAACTATTCGACAGAGTTGCTTCTCAAGAATATATTCTTACTGAAGATCAGTGTAGTTCATTTATCAGGTTAGACAGTTGGTTGGATATTTGGTTGGATAGTTGGTTGGATAGTTGGTTAGGTAGTTGGTTGGTAAGTTGGTTCATTAGATCGTTGTTTATTTGGACAGTTAAAGTATGCTTTGTTTGTTAGTTGGTTTGATAGCTAGTTAGTTGGTTAGTTAAACAACTGGTTGGTTGGTTGGTTGGTTGGTTGGTTGGTTAGTTGGTAGGTTGGTTGGTTGGTTGGTTTGATGGACGGTTGTTTGATGGTTGGTATGATCGATAATTGGATAGTTGGTTGGTTGACAAATTAAAATGATAGATATTTAATTGGTTGGAAGGTTGATACAGTAAAATTATGGTTGAATGGTTAGACAGTTGGCTGATAGGTTGGCCTGGTTGTATGGTTGGATAGTTGGAAAGTTAGTTTCTTGTTAGGTTGGTTTATATGCTGGTTGGCTGCTGGATTAGTTGCTTGGTTGGTTGATTATTTTGTGGTTTGATTGGTTGGTGTTTTTTCGCTAGATAGGTTGGCTAGTTGGTTGGTTAGTGGGTCTGGAGTGGGTTGGTTAGTTGGTCTGGAGTGGGTTGGTTAGTGGGTCTGGAGTGGGTTGGTTAGTTGGTCTGGAGTGGGTTGGTTAGCGGGTCTGGAGTGGGTTGGTTAGTGGGTCTGGAGTTGGTTAGTTAGTGGGTCTGGAGTGGGTCTAGAGTGGGTTGGTTAGTGGGTCTGGAGTTGGTTGGTTAGTGGGTCTGGAGTTGGTTGGTTAGTGGGTCTGGAGTTGGTTGGTTAGTGGGTCTGGAGTGGGTCTGGAGTGGGTTGGATGAATATGGAATAAACTACCAGTTTACCAGTTTTTTACAAAATTAACTTTTTTAGAAGAATTTGCAAAGGACTGGAATACCTTCATCAAGCTCTTATTGTTCATTTAGACCTTAAGGTAACTTAGATTTTCCTCATCCTCCCGCAGATCCTTCTGATCCCTCTGATCCTTCTGATTATTCAGATCCTTCTGTTCCCTCTGATCCTCCTGATTCTTCAGATCCTTCTCATCCTTCTAATCCCTCTGATACTTCTGATCTCTGTGATCCTTCTGATCCTTCTAATCTTTCTGATTCTTCTGGTTCTTCTGATTATACTGATCCTTCTGATCCTTCTGATTCTCCTGATTCTTCAGATCCTTCTCATCCTTCTCATCCCTCTGATACTTCTGATCTCTGTAATCCTTCTGATCCTTCTAATCTTTCTGATTCTTCTGATTCTTCTGATTCTTCTGATTATACTGATCCTTCTCATTCTCCTGATCCTTCTGATCCTTCTGATCCTTCTCATTCTCCTGATCCTTCTGATCTTTCTTATTCTTCTGATTCTTCTGGTTCTTCTCATCATACTGATCATTCTGATCCTTCTCATTCTTCTGATTCTTCTGATTATACTGATCCTACTGATCCTTTTCATCCCTCTCTTTCGTAAATCCTTCTCATCCTTCTCTTTATTTTCTCATCCTTTTCATTCTAAAGATCCTTCCGATCCTTGTGATCCTATTAATTCAAGATTGGTTTAGCCCGAGAATATAGTTTGCATCAACAGAAGTTCAACGGATATAAAGATTATTGATTTTGGTTTAGCTAAAAAACTTCTGCCCACTCAGGAGGTAAATTTTTTCTTGTATTTTATTTTATATTTATCAATTTTATTTTTATCATAATATTTGGGTACCTAATAAGATAAGTGAAAATAATCAATTTTGGCTTAAAAATTTGTCAAACGTTATAAATATATTTTATAATTAGATAAAAGTGATGTGTGGTACCCCGGAATTTTTAGCTCCTGAAGTGCTTAATTTCGACCCCATTTCATTCACAACAGGTAAGGCACTTTTTAGTTCAAGGCACTTTTAGTTCAAGGCATTTTTTAGTTCACACTTATTTATTTTAAGAATATTTAATTCAAGTTTTGTATTTATAAGGAATTTTTTCTTTATTCAAAACTATAACAATAATCTTAATTGTTCTGAAATAAATTATATTTACTTTAAAAAAGGGTCCCAATAAGCATAGGAATTAAGTGACTTTTTAAATCGCCTTTGATCTTTTAATAATTTTCTCCTTACTTCCTTAATTTCCTTTGTATTGTACTTGAAACACATGTTTTGATTTTATATTTTTTTGTGCATTCTAGATATGTGGGCTGTTGGTGTTATAACATACATTCTGGTTTCTGGATTATCTCCTTTCCTAGGAGATTCAGATCATCAAACATTTGCAAACATTATCCGGTAGGTTTAATAGGTTTAGTAAACATCCGGTAGGTTTAATAGGTTTAGTAAACATACAGTAGGTTTAATAGGTTTAGTAAACATACGGTAGGTTAAACAGATTTAGTAAACATACGGTAGGTTTAACAGGTTTAGTAAACATACGGTAGGTTTAAGGTTTAGTAAACATCCGGTAGGTTTAATAGGTTTAGTAAACATACGGTAGGTTTAATAGGTTTAGTAAACATACGGTAGGTTTAACAGATTTAGTAAACATCCGGTAGGTTTAACAGGTTTAGTAAACATACGGTAGGTTTAACGTTTAGTAAACATACGGTAGGTTTAATAGGTTTAGTAAACATACGGTAGGTTTAATAGGTTTAGTAAACATACGGTAGGTTTAAGGTTTAGTAAACACACGGTAGGTTTAATAGGTTAAGTAAACATAAGGTAGGTTTAACAGGTTTAGTAAAAATACGGTAGGTTTAATTGGTTTAGTAAACATACGGTAGGTTTAATAGGTTAAGTAAACATCCGGTAGGTTTAACAGGTTTAGTAAACATATGGTATGTTTAATAGGTTTAGTAAACATGCGGTAGGTTTAATAGGTTTAGTAAACATACGGTAGGTTTAATAGGTTTAGTAAACATACGGTAGGTTTAATAGGTTTAGTAAATATTCCGTTGGTTTAATAGGTTTTTGCAAAATTAATTTTTCAACCCAATATGGTAGACCTTGGAAATTTTAAACTTTGAATTATGTTAGATCACCTTATCTATGTTAAGAATATCAAATATTTACACTAGGTTGCAAAGATATATATAAGGATTAGAAAAATTTAGTTCCTGTCTCCTTCTTATACATTTCAAATGTATTTTGTGCCCTGTCAAATTTGTCCTGCAATATTAAATATCAAATTTAAGTGATATTTTATTTCTAATTAAGACATATTTTTAAAATAAGGAAAATTTTTGATCTCTTAAATTACACCCAACATTTTGCTTCTTCTTGAACTCTCATGATGTCATCTAATTTTGAATTTTAAACACGGCTATGTAATACAAAACATATTCAACAGATTTAAATATGTTTGGTGGAACTAATTATTAAAATGTTTAGAAATAATTACACTTTTGAGGACACAGAGTTCGAGGGTATTTCTGAAAACGCTAAGGTTGGATATTTTAAATTTAAGGAACGTTTACGAAAATGAAGAGAGGGATGAGAATGGGATTTATTTTACTTTTCAATCATGATCAATTGGTAATCTTTCTTTTCTGTCAGGAGTTGCTGTAATCATCTTGACTTTGTGCTATTTCAAACACTTTTAGTCTTAGAAAAGTTTAACCATTTTTCCCAACGCCAGGCGAAGAAAGGTTAATATCAAATTGTATTGATATAAAAACATGGAATATAAATGTAAATGTTAATTCGGAACTATTTAAACAAAAGACAACAAACCAATGACTTTAAAACTAAATTATTATGTCGGGAAATATGCAAATATTTGGTAAATATTTAATAATCAAAATATGAAACAACTTCCGTTTAATTTATGTTTGAAGATGCAAACAGAGAGATCCGATGAACATAGGATTTGACAAAGTACAGGAAAAATGTCGTATTTGTACCAAATACAACGTGCTGTACAGAACGCACAGTATTGTTATCCTATCCATTGGAGCAGTACTAAGTCAAGCTTTTCAAATGCATTTGAAAGTGACCCCTATTATTAACACAATGAAATTAAGGTAAAATCAAGGGAAAACTGATATGCTTATTAATACAATGAAATTAAGGTAAAATCATATTATTGAAAGGAATTAACTGCAGTGCATGGGATTCATAAAACTGCTGAATTGGAAGGCCACTTTTAGACTCAAGTTATGATTTAAAACGGTAATTACGTAGAGTACACAAATCCATTTCACTGAACGTGTTGATTTTTTTTTAGATCGTACAGTTTAGATCCTACAGTTTAGATCCTACTGTTTAGATCCTACTGTTTAGATCCTACTGTTTAGATCCTACTGTGCTAGACGAAGATGGCAAAGGTGTGGAACAGGGGTGAGAGCTCTGAAACGAATGTCAGGTAGTACTGTAGGAACTATAAGAACCATCAAATTATGGATTATGAAGAAGAATATTGGAAGTTTTAGACACAACAATTATGAAGTTTTTTTTAAATACGTTTCATCAAATCTGGCCCTCGGTCTTCGAAATTTAGGCCATTGCACTTTTGTCTTAATTATTTTTCAACTGTTGCAGGAATGGTCAAGCGTCGCTCCTTGGATTCTGATGATGAAGGAAATCAACCAACTGGTAGTAGTCTGTCTCTGTACAGTTCTACAGATAGTTTAACCAGGGTAGGTTGTCCTTGTACAGTTTTACAGATAGTTTAACCGGGTAGGTTGTCTCTGTACAGTTGTACAGATAGTTTAACCAGGATAGGTTGTCCTTGTACAGTTCTACAGATAGTTTAACCAGGGTAGGCTGTCTCTCTACAGTTCTACAGATAGTTCATCAAGGGTAGGTTGGCTTTGTACAGTTCTACAGATAGTTTAACCGAGGTAGGCTGTCTCTGTATAGTTCTACAGAAAGTTTAACCAGGGTAGGTTGGCTTTGTACAATTCTGCAGACAGTTCAACCAGGGTAGGTTGGCTTTGTACAGTTCTACAGATAGTTTAACCGGGGTAGGCTGTCATTGTATAGTTCTACAGATAGTTTTACCAGGGTAGGCTGTCTCTGTACAGTTCTACAGATAGTTCATCGAGGGTAGGTTGGCTTTGTACAGTTCTACAGATAGTTTAACCCGGGTAGGCTGTCTCTGTACAGTTCTACAGATAGTTTAACCAAGGTAGGTTGGCTTTGTACAGTTCTACAGAAAGTTTAACCGGGGTAGGTTGTCTTTGTACAGTTCTACAGATAGCTTAAGTTAACCAGGGTAGGTTGGCTTCGTACAGTTCTACAGATAGTTTAACCGGGGGTAGGTTGGTTTTGTACAGTTCTACAGATAGTTTAACCAGCTTTGAACAGTTCTACAGATAGCTTAACCAGGGTAGGCTGTCTCTGTGCAGTTCTACAGATAGTTTAACCAGGGTAGGTTGGCTTTGTACAGTTCTACAGATAGTTTAACCGGGGTAGGTTGGCTTTTTACAGTACTACAGATAGTTTAACCAGGGTAGGTTGGCTTTGTACAGTTCTACAGATAGTTTAACCAGGGTAAGTTATCCTTATACAGTTCAACAGATAGTTTAACCAGGGTAGGTTGTCGTTGTACAGTTCTACAGATAGTTTAACCAGGGTAAGTTGTCCTTGTACAGTTCAACAGATAGTTCAACCAGGGTAGGTTAGCTTTGTACAGTTCTACAGATAGTTTAACCAGGGTAGATTGGCTTTGAACAGTTCTACAGATAGTTTAACCAGGGTAATATACATTTTCCCTTACATAAATATATTTAGGAGAGTCTGGATTTGACACTGGTGGAGAATAATATTGACGAGGAAAATACCGATGATGAAGATATTTACCAAAACAATGATGATGAAGTTTTCTTACCTGGAGATTCCGACGCGGTAGATTTCAACCTAAATGATGGTATTAAACCTACAGCTCGTTCCAGGCAGGTTCATTGGAGAACACGTGATAGCTTTATATCTGCACAAAACTACAGTATAAACCACAGTCTAGAGTCTACAGTAGAAAATGAGGAAGAATTAAGAATTAGTTCAAAATCTGAAAATAAATCAAATAAAGGTAATAAAAAGCTATTAAATTATTAAACAGAAACAAACAAAATTTCGCTCATTTTCAAAATTTTACGAAAATCTAATTTGTGCAGGCAAATTTTTAAAATTTTGATCATCTATAAACTTTCCAGGTCCCACACAAAATTTGGGCCCGATCGGTTCAGCCGTTTTGACATTTATTGGATACAAACAAACAAACAAACACACAGACAGAAAAGCATATATAGCATATATAGTAAATATACATAGACATAGATTAAAATTTCAAACACGTCTCATTTGTGTAATTTACAAAAATTGTTGCAAAAAATACTTTTAAAGGTATGAATTAATTTGAAAAGGAAGGAGCATTGAGATGTACCCTTTCTATTTTTTGAGACATATTTTGGTGAAGTTCATTGAATTTTTTTAAAATTAATTCTTTCGTCATTAAAAAGAGTTTTAACCTAGCAAATATTCCTTTCTATGTACTTTATTGCAGAGATGGAAGATGGGGAGGAGGAGGAGGAGGAGGAGGAAGAAGATGAGGAAGACCATGATGATGATGAAAAGGATAAGGAAGAAGAGTGTAAAGAGGAGGCAGCTAAAATAGAGAATCCGGAGGAGAAGGTGAATGAAGAGAAACAGGATATTAAGGGAGAAAATGAAGAAGAGGAGAATAATAAGGAGAAGAAGGATAAGAAGGAGAATGAAGAGAAACAGGAGATTGAGGAAGAAGGGGAGAATAACGAGGAAAATGAGGAAAAGCTGGATAGTTTCCCAACTCTATTTAGGTAAATAAATATATGCTTAAGAGAAACGTATATCTTTAGAGATGCTTAATCCAAACATATTTTCTAGACCTATGCTCAATTTTAACCTATTTTCTAGATCTATGCCCAATCTTAACATATTTTCTAGACCTATGCTCAATCCTAACATATTTCTAGACCTATGCCCAATCTAAACATATTTTCTAGACCTATGCTCAATCCATACATATTTTAAGATCTATGCCCAATCCTAACATATTTTCTAGACCTATGTTTAATCTAAACATATTTTCTTGACCTATGCCCAATCTAAAAAAATTCTTCTAGACTTATGCTCTATACAAACATATTTTCTAGATCTATGCTTACAGAAACATATTTTCTAGATCTATACTTAATCTAAACATATTTTCTAGATCTATATTTAATCTTAACATATTTTCTAGATCTATGTTTAATCTAAACATATTTTCTAGATCTATGTTTAATCTAAACATATTTTCTAGATCTATGCTAAATCTAAACTTATTTTCTAGATTTATGTTTAATCTAAACATATTTTCCAGGTCTTTGCTTAATCTAAACATATTTTCTAGATCTATGTTTAATCTAAACATATTTTCTAGATATATGTTTAATCTAAACATATTTTCTAGATATATGTTTAATCTAAGCATATTTTCAGACCCATGGAATCTAAACATTAATCTAAACATATTTTCTAGATCTATGTTTAATCTAAACATATTTTCTAGATATATGTTTAATCTAAACATATTTTCTAGATATATGTTTAATCTAAGCATATTTTCAGACCCATGGAATCTAAACAAATTTCTAGATCTATGGAATCTAAACATATTTTCTAGATCTATATTTAATCTAAACATATTTTCTAGATCTATGGAATCTAAACATATTTTTAGACCTATGGAATCTAAACATATTTTTAGACCTATGGAATCTAAACATATTTTTAGACCTATGGAATCTAAACATATTTTTAGACCTATGGAATCTAAATATATTTTTAGACCTATGGAATCTAAACATATTTCTAGATCTATGGAATCTAAACATATTTTCTAGATCTTTGCTTAATCTAAACATATTTTTAGATCTATGGAATCTAAACATATTTTTAGACCTATGGAATCTAAACATATTTTTAGACGTATGGAATCTAAACATATTTTTAGACCTATGGAATCTAAACATATTTCTAGATCTATGGAATCTAAACATATTTTTAGACCTATGGAATCTAAACATATTTTTAGACCTATGGAATCTATATCTCGGCGAATGTATTCTGGATCTACAACAAGACCTTTAGCTGGTAAATAAAGATCTAGTAAATAAAGATATTTTCTAGTAAATAAAGATATTAATAACTTACGGAATTCTGGACGTACTGCCTTAGCCTTAATAATTAGTATGCTTGTAAACTTAAAAAGTCGAAATAAACTCAAAATAGATAAATTGGCCCAACTAGATGAAAGATATTAAAAAACCTGTTTAGAGTAAGTAAAAGTCATTATCGCCTATTTCATCGTCATTTAGCTAAGACCCTTACTTTGACCGGCCTCTCGAAGATTTGACCGTTTGAAAAAATTAAACTTTAAGTTTATTCACCGTAAACAGATAATTCTAATAAATTCCTAAGTTTGAGTTTAAGATATAGAGTGGAAGTTATGTAGATTAGCTGAACTCTTTCTAATTCAAAAGTTTAATTTCTTAGATTGAGTTGTAATACTTATATTTTTATATCGATTAATTGTTTTAGGAACAGTTTCTAATAGAATAAACCTATTCCAAAGTCCATCTGATGTCTCTCCAAAGACTGACGGACTCCTGAAACCCCCTTCTCCAGGGACTCCAGGAAAACTAACCTACAGAAAATCCATGAAAACCCGACCCAGAAATGTTAAACTTTTGGCAGAGAAATTTGGAGGAAAGTAGTGTTTATTTATTGATATGTACAGTAGCTATTTATTGATATGTACAGTAGCTATTTATTGATATGTACAGTAGCTATTTATTGATATGTACAGTAGCTATTTTATGAAAATAATACAGTTTTTAGCTTTGTCTTATAGCCTAAGGTCTTATTTTACTATATTGAGATAAAAAGGTGAACATAAATTTGTTTTAATCTTTTTTAACTTAAAAAATGAGGCTTAAAATGCTCTTCTTTTTCCGATTCGGTGCCTTTACTAATAAAGCTATTTTCTAACTTAAATAGGATTCTGAACCAACTTTATTTCAGTTTTAAATGTTATTGGTTGGTAATATAATTTTCTTACATAGAATATATAGTATTCTGTATACTGTCTGATGGGTGTGTACGTTACTGTGTCCGCAGTCGTGTGTACAGTATAAACACGAGCCATCTTCACTCTAATATTTTATATTTTAAACCCCTTGCAAACACAAACATCACGATTCAATATGGAGACGACCATTAATATGGAACCATATTTGTATACAGGGATCTTTCTAGATAGTTTGACCTCGACATTAAACTGAATTACAAGGGGAGGGGGGNCAACCTTAAAGGAACATTAGACAAAATTATTATTATTTTATATTTATTTCGTTCACATAGCGGTACAATATATTATTGAGACTACAAAATATTTATAAATATATATATCATACAAAATAAAAACTATTCGTAGCATACATAGTTAATTATTTGGGACAGTTCATCCCTTTTAAACCCGGTAATTTCAATTTTATTTGATCTAACAATTTTCCAAAAATTTTAATCAGAAACTTCTGGAAAGGTTAAATTACTTATTACAAAAAGTTTTGTTAGATCACCCGGATAACAATTACAATCTTGTTGAATGTTGTAAATATTTGTCAGGGGTTGTCATTAAATTGTTCTGAAAACCATTTGAATGCAATCAGAAAGCGATTTTGTTACTTCTCTGTAAACTATGAAAGAAAGATACAAATCACGAACACAGCGTGGTCTTTAAGTGATGGTTTACCGATATTGGTTCAATAAAATATCTATGGGTTTTTCTAGGTAGGTTAAGTAAAACTTTATTCCATGATGATTGTAATCTAATAACATTAGCAATACGGGACATAGCATGGGAACCATGAAGTTATATATACATATTTACATGTATATCTATATGTATAAAGTTGTAATCTCTGTTTGTTTGTTTGTCCGATCATAACTCATAAACACTCGGATCGATTTGCCTCAAATTTTGATTTAGAAAATCGGGAGACCCAGGGGAATGTTCTTAGCTTGGTTTTAATATTCTAAGTTGAGTAGGTCGACTTTAATAGCAAAAGTTTTAGTTTCATAAAACCGTTTAAGTGAGGGTAAACGGCGGGAGTAACTTTTAGTAACCATGAGATTTTAAAAGCTTAACCCCGACTAAAACCCAAACTCGGGCTTAGATAGAACCCAAGTCAGGATTGGTTTTGATTCGAGCTTTCTCTCTGTAGCAGACAGAATGCCGTCAGATCAGCTGTGACAAGGGCAGCGCTGGGTTCCCAAGCTAGTATATTATCAAGTTTCATTAAAGTCTTTGGATCAGAAAAGTAGAACTCTTGCTTAAGCGAGTATATCTAATTGAAACAGAGGAAGCTCTCTTTATACTACAATCTTCAGCCATTGAATTATCTGAGATGTTTAATTTCATTAACAAATGGCAATTGATCTGCATAATTGGACGGTCAGCATTCTCATCAATAACAGTTTTAGAGAATATTTTGTTTTTGATTTCACAAAATTAACATTTGTACTAAATTTCAAGGCATACTTATCCACAAAACGTTCAAAGATTGTTGTCATTTGTCGGAGACCTGAGTTAGTCACAGTGACAGGTCAGAGCCCTTTAAACCCTTATCTGATCATGGACTAGTACAGATAATCCTTTTTTTGCCAAAAAATTGAAATCCCATTGCTGACAATTCAATGAGAGTTTACCGAACTAGAATTCCTAGATCCAAAATATTCACTGATGAAGCGGTTTTACGAAATTCCAACGAAAATATTTATTTTCTTTGATTTCCATCAATAAATATTAATTATTTTTTCTATTTAAACATAGTAAGAACATTTGTTTTGTAAATCTAAAACTTTTATCTCCATCTTTTATGACGTTTTTATTGATCAAAACTCACTATAATTTCCATTCTATTGGCAGTCGCTGGAATCTTGTACAAATGTCGTCTTGTGTTGTTAAATCCTCATGTATAACGAATCTCTGTAAATCTGATTATAGTTCTCAACATGCATGAGTTTGCAGTTAAAAGTTCTAAAGCCAAGCAGAGCGAAATATGAAGAGGTTATGTCATCTGACCTATTGTCAGTTTAAAAAGGTTAAAGAGGTAATGTCATGTGACCTATACTCTAAATACTTTTTTCTTGAACCTATTCAACGAATGCATCCTTTCTTCAGAAGGTTTCCTCATCCATTTAATTTTAAGTTTTTTGTATTTCTTTAATTCTTTTTGATTAATTTATTGCTTTTTTTCTGTAACACACTTATCTTTTCGCAGTTTTTTCAACATTTCCTTTCCTCATTTAATTTGTTCTGAAATTTATTGATAAATTGCTTTACTAGCATGGGAAAAAAATTCATCTCCCCCCCCCCCATTCCCTTGTCCAGATCTCCCCCCCTCCTCTTATCTACACCATGATTAACATTGAGCGCATGCGGTTATAAATAAGAATTTATTATTTTATATTCACAACAGTGCGCTCTGCGCGAGCTCGTGTTAAAGAAGATTGCAGCATGTACGCGCATGTGTATAGAAGTGTGTGTTGTGTGCGTGGGGTGTATTGAAGTGTGTGTTTTGTGTACGTGGGGTGTATGTGTCTGTGAATAAATGGAGATTAAATCAATAAGTCAAGTTATCCTTATTTACTTCAGAATAAAATATGTTATTTTGTAGAAATTTTAATTTACTTTCTAGAAGTCGCAGAAAATAGGTAATTTAAGTGTAACATACAAGAATATTTGAAAACTGAAAATCTGCAAAATTTAAAACTGAAAATCCACGAAATCCAATTAAAGCCAGTTTACAAATTCAACAAAAGATGTCGCTAGTGTGAACTTACTACTAAATTTAATAATTAATAATCGGATGATTACGATTGATTGGATAAATGTAGATTTTATTTTACTATCCATTAATTTTCATAAATTTTCATATATACTCCACTTTAAAATCATGAATAGAATTCTGTATAAGAAAATGGAGGTTTGAGAACAACAGAGTAATGAATACAGCTAGAAACGTCGTTGATATTCATTGGTAGCTAAACAGCAAGATAAATATAATGGTAGGTTATATCGTATAATTTATTTAAGATAAAAGTCTAATTAGAATCATTGAAAGATACTAATTTTGATTTTTTTAAATAATTTTCGCTAGCGCTGGATTTTCGAACATTCCTGGAAAATATGAAAATGTCGTCTTAATTATCAAAAATCCTCAAAACAGGAAAAAATGTTTTTAAAAGTAACTCTCAGATCATGAAAAATACAAAATATTATGAAATATCAACTATTTAAGACTGCGTCGAAAAATAATCGAAGAATATTGTTTAAAATATCTGAATGATTTATTTGGAATTAAATTGATTTGTTTTCGATCCGAGTTGAATATTGCCTCTTTCCGAATTTGTATGGACACTACGTTCTTCGGTATTCGCTATTAGTCGTTTTTAACAATTTTCTCCTTATAGACGCAACAGATAGAAGTAAGATTAGTAGCGATCAAAAGCGCTTTTTTATCCCATTAAGCCTATACCCCCTTTCATTTTTCGCGAACACTCCCTTTAATCTGATCAAAAATGTGGATTATACTGTCGTTTTTCTGACACATTCGCAGTGAAACCGGAAATGAAAGTAAAAGGTTTAAAGAAACAAAAACATATATAATTCATACAAGATCAGACAAAGCATTAAAGGGTGCCGTTGTAAATCGGACATTCCTGTCTTTGAAGTTTGAGCGGAGGGTTACTTGAAATTACGCTTCAAGTTTAAAGTTACCATCTTCTTATGTTAGTAAAATATATTAGACGGTGTTTACTGCAGGGGGGCAGAATCTTAGCTACCTCTCCGTGTGTATTAGCCTGAGTGTACACTAAGGACAGTTTACTGATAAAGGATATTTTGGCATATTTATACAGTACAAGTACGCGTTCGGAGTAGTGTATGGGGAGGTTTTGTATCTTGAATTTTACTCAGTTTTCTCAGAACCGTTTATTAGCGATGAAATATTGCTCTGTAAAATACTGTAAAAGTACGTCTTCCTGTTAAAATGTAATCCTACACACGATAAAGGAGTAGCGGATTTTAATAGTTTCATGAAAAAAAATTCTCCTTTAACTATTTTCAGAAAGCACCCCCCGAGTACTGTAATAAACAGATTGACCTTTGGAAGTGAAGTACATGGTCTGTACAATTAGTATAAGGATAAGCGTACATCATCACTCTATATACTATAACCTCGTTGGTGTTTACACGTTATCTCCCAGTGTATCAATAAACACCGGCTAATTTAGTACCAATATTCTTTAATATTAGTTATCTAACCTATCACGAGTTCCCAGCTCAATATTTGGTTTACAAGATTCAGTTACACCGTTTTCCAGAGAATTATTGAATTTTGGTCGTCTTCTTTATCATTTTTGAATTATCTACAGGGTGTCCCAATAAACATGGAAATTCAGTGACGAATTCGATATCGTCTTTGTTATGATTTAGCACTGTAATACCTAATTTCAAAAGACATAATATTATTATGTCTGCTGAGTCTGCTAGAGTTTATTTTATGAAAACGGTGAATGACCTTAAAGATGTGTCTATAATGTCTTTGTAAGATGAACAGTATAGACGGACAAGTTTGCTCTGTTTGTATACTGCAATTTTCTTGTTTTACTAAGTACAACCGTATGCAGTCAAAACATAAACAAACAAATTTTAAACAAAGCAGACGAAACTCTTACAGATTACATCTTTCTCGGTAGGTCTCACTATACTAAATCAAAGAATTATTTGAAAAGACGATGTCGAATTCGTCACTATATTCCCATGTTTATTGGGACACCCTGTAGTA